TTTTTTCAGTCCACCCATAGTTCCTGAACAATGCTACCTATCCTATCCTATGACAAATTTAAAAAACCTATCCTTGCTTATAACTTTGAAATAAGTGAGATTATACATGGTGATACAATTGCCAAGTCAGTATTTTATGTTACAGAAGTTTCTCATTTTCCTGAAGAGGAATCTGACAGCATACTTGATGAGGATGGGGAGAAATTATTTTTAATTATTAAAGAATATGAAAAATATCTCACTAGAAGTACGTGAACTGCAAACTATAATGTATAACCTTACTTATAATAATTTAAAGGCAACAGCTATTTAGAATCTTATGTATATATTCTTGGTGGAGATAGTTTTAGAATATGCCAAGAAAGTGTTTAAGTACAAATTAATTCTTAGCTGTTAGTAGTAGTATTTTCTTCAAGATGTGGAAAATGAAGTAAATTCCATACAACAGATGAGTTTGTTCCTGTGTGTTTACTTTGGTGAGGTCCTTTTGATAAGTACCTCTTGAACTACAACTACAAAAATTATTTGAACTATTAACTGTGGTATATAAAAAAAAAAAAAAACCCAAAAAAGAACATTTATATATATTATAATTAGTGGTTTATGTTAAGAGTGGTTACTACGTAAATGCTGGTGAGTGTCATTTTGGGCAGTGCTGTGGGCTGATACATAGCATTTCAGCCTAACTTTGATCAACCTTGAGGGTAGATAACACATATTCCAAAATGTAGTGTTCATTTTCAATTGCAATTGGTAACATTTTAAGCTATATGTACAGTTTCAGAACCTTCATATACTTCATATGGAATATGCACAACTTTAATATGAATAAACATTTTTAGGAAAAATTGATTTTTTAAGGAAAAATTACCACTAAGTTTTGGTGGTAGTATTTTATCAGCAAAAGCTAGTACTGATATCACACATGAATATGTACCAGGCTCGCTATGAAACACTAGGAATGTTAAGATAAAAACAAAATGAGTCTAGTAGATCCACTGTCTAGTGTAACTTTGGGTTGAACTTAAAAGAATGTTTAAATCACAGTAATTTTCCATTGGTCTGATTTTACCAGCTAACTCCCCAGATACGGTGTCTGATTTTGCCCTGTATTGCCATTCTAAAACTCTGGAGTCTAAACAGGGGAAATGGATAAAGTCAGCTCAAAATAGGTAGAATAACCCATATCTGAGTGAACCATAGAATTTAACTAGAATTTATATTTTCAATTTTTGTTTTGGATCATCACCACCACTATCTGCCTTGTGATCATCAGGACTAATCTCCTTGTACCCTTTAATTTCTGTCAGTCATGATAAGAAACCCAGACCTCCCTAGTCGTCCCTCATGCCCTGGTCCTCATCCTCATACAGCTTTCTGCAACCTCACCTCCCCAAACTTCAAAACGTGGGCCATCATCAACAGAATCTGTGAGTGTCAAAGTTTACCTTCTGTGATGTAAAACTAGGTACTAAATCATGTGTTTCCCGTGTTCTCTCTTTTTAAAAGAAAACAAGCAAATCAATTTTAGGAATTCAGTAAAATTCAACTAAAAGTCTTCTCAGAGTATATCCCATTGTCTGCATACCTTCAGCCCCTTTACACGACACTAAATGATGACTTATGTTCATAATCATGAGCTTTTGCAAGATTTCCAGTCATTAAAAAAAAAAAAATAGTGATGTTTTCAGTTAACTCTACTAATATTGGATGATTAGTACAATTGGATGGTTAGTAAATGTTACCTCAGTAAATGTTTCATAAACGAGTAAATGAATGGTTAAATCTCAGCTTACTAGAACATTAATTAGAACTAACTTCACCAAATTTAATTTTAATAAGCTCACTTCTTCATCAGACATTCCCTTTTAAACCTAATAAAAAGATCTGAGTTTGGTATTTTATAAAAAGTTTAACACAAAGTTAGCATACAACACTGCGATTTCACTCCTAGATCTCTACCCAAGAGAAATGAAAATATATCCACAAAAAGTCTTGCACACAAATTTCCAAGCATAATTCATAATAGCTCAGAAAGGTGTAACACGCAAATGTCCATCAATTGGTGGATGGCTAAAAATCATGTGCTGAATAGGAAAGCTCGTTTTAAGAAAAGAGACCCACAGGTGCTTTCCATCGGCAGGACACAGAGGTGCGGGCGGGCGGGGAAGACTCCGCCCCCACCCGGAACGTGACCTCCGTGGCCGGAAAAGGCGGTGCCGCGGCGACGTCGACCCGGCCCCAACTTCCTTTTGGAGAGCTCGGTCTTCTCGGCTCTTCCTGGTTCTCCACCTTTTCCCCAGCTGCAGATCTGGGGCGGCTTCCGAGCCTGGGCATTCGCCACCTTTTCCGAGTCGTTTCCCTCACTCCGCCACTGACGCCGTGTGAGGCTCCGGGCCTGACGGCGTGGGATGGAACTGGAAGGACCGACCCAGCCCAGGCTGCTGCACAGAAAGGAAAGGAGCCCGCGAAGCCACAGAGGAGCCTGAGGCCAGGATCCCGCCAGCGCGGACGCCCGTGGACACCGAGTTCGTGAACAGCTGGCCTGACCCAGTGCACATAGCAAGTCCAGTTTGCTAAGAAGACTCAAGCTCTTGAAAGAAAGTGTGGTGCCTTATTTAAGCCTCTATACCACATGAAACGTCAAATCACCAATTCAGAAAATTGTTGTGATTGGAAAATTGAGCATGAGGCAGATACCAAACAGGCAAAGCTTAAAGAACGAAGAGGCCGAAGAAAGATCGCAAAGCAATAACTGAGGCAAAGGCTGAAGAAAAAAAATTTAAGGAA